ACATATTCGGAATCCTGAGGAAATTCTGAGTCAGACAGCATCCTCAAATTGACGTTTTGAAGTTTCGTAATCAGAAAATGCATCATCATAAAGATCAATCTAGAGTGCTTTCAACTATATATTTGAGAAAAACGAATTTTGACAAGTTTAGACTGCTGGGAATAGCTGAATAACAACTTTCTAAGGAAAGTTCCATTTTTCAGGCATTGTGTGAATCTATAATATATTAAAAGAAAATCTATAATATATTAAAACAAAATAAGATAATTTAAAGCACTCTACAATGTAGAGTCTACATTGATCTTTATGATGATACATTTTCTGATGATGAAACGCCAAAAGGACAATTTGAGGATGCTATCTGACTCAGAATTTCCTCAGGATTCCAAATATGTAAAAATATTTAAGGCATTCCATTTAAAAATCGAAAGTTATCATTTCCGGCGAAACCGGAATTTCAAATAATACATTTTATCTCCACGCGGTCTATAATTTAAACTTTATTGTTGTCAACATTCGATAAAGAAATACCTTGTTATGGCCTAGGCCGATAAAAATTTTTATGAGGCAAGTAATTAGTTCGATTTTTTCTCGCTAGGGATATTGTTTTGACAAATTAATCCTTTTCTAAGAAATTAACGTACTAAACTGGTTTAATTTATTTATAATAAACACTAATTTGTTTGTTTTACTGTTAAAATATTATAATGTTTAATATTTTTCATTAAATTATTGTAAAATTAAATATGAATAATAAAACAAAAAGTGTGGTTAGGTCCTAACCGTTAGGACATTGCAATTTGACGTTTCTGTGGATTTCACAGTTGTTTTCTTTTTCTACGATTTAAATTATCTTTAAACTTTAATTTGCTTTAAATTTTCAGTGAAATTAAATGTTAAACACAGCGTAAACATTCCAAACTACCTATTTTTTTAATAAAAATGCAAACAAATTGAAATTAGATACCTATTTATTAAACAATTAATTGAATTCAATGTAATAGCAAGAGGGTAAGTAAACCATTTTCTTACAAAAATCCATTTCTACTTAAATCATGTAGCTAGGTATTGTCAAACTATTACTGCTTCTAAAAGGAATAATAATTATTGTACATTTAATGTAATCTTTAGCTAATAAATAAATGAGGTTCTAAAAAAGTGAGGTTAGGGCGATTTCATGTTGAATTAAATTGACCTATATAAAGTGCTTTGAAGATAAAATGTTGTATGCCATTCGGCCAAGAAGTGTCTTTTTGTGCTTCGCTCAATTGTAGGCCTCCGCTACGCGTCGGCCTTCAAACTTTGAGCTTAGCACAAAAAGCCTTACTTCTTAACCTAATGACATAAATAACTATTGTACTCTTATAAGTGGCATTTTATATCCCAATTAACCCAGCTAAATTTCATGTGTCTATAGACATATAGATATATCTTTATAAATAAGTTACAGGGGTGCGCCTATTCTCAGATACCCGGTATATATATATATATATATATATATATTAGGGTGTCCCAAAAAAAAAGAATATATTTTTTTTTCTTGTCTCTTGTAAAAATATGTTAGTTTATCATGCTGTAAGAGCCCTTTCAAAATATCAGCTCGATTAAAAATTTTGTAGGGGTCGCTCAAGATTTTTAAAAAATTTCAAAATCGTCAAAAATTGAATTTTTGTTTTATTTTAATTCTTTTTCTCGTCTCGATATTATTTTTTAGGTTGAAAATAATAAAAATTCTGTAAATTTCAAATCAATATTTTGATTTCTAAAGGTCGCTAAAAGTTCGTTGATATTTATATTCAGAGGTCGCTCGAAAACATTCAAAATACTCTACTTTGAAAGTTAAAAAAATCTTGAGCGACCTTTAGAAATTAAAATATCGATTTGAAATTTTCAGAATTATTATTATTTTTAAATTAAAAAATAATATCGGAACGAGAAAAAAAAAATAAAATTAAAAAAAATCCAATTTTTGACGATTTTGGTAATTTTTAAAAATCTTGAGCGACCCCTAAAATTTTTTTAATGGTGCTGATCTTTTGACAGGGCTCTTAAAACATGACAAACCAACATATTTTCACAAGAGACGAGAAGAAGAAAAATATTCTTTTTTTTTGGGACACCCTAATATATATATATATATATATACAATACCTATACATTACGGTAATATAGATTTCAAAGTTGGTTACTCTATTGTTTTATAAATGTCGCTTTATACAAATATTTAATTTTTTTAATTTTTATATAATATGTAAATATTAGTACGGCTTTCATTTTCTGCAGTCTCGGCCTGCTCGACCTAGAAACAATGCAACGGAGCAACAGATCGACGTGATTTTTGCATACTATCTGTATTTGATTTTTAAATGCCATTTTTCAACTTTTCATAAAATGTTTGTTTCTTTAGTGAATTTAAAAAGTTTTTTATTAAGAAATATTTAAATTATTTTTTTAATAATTTTTTGATTTAATTTTTCAAAATTTCTTTATTTTTTGACCCGGTAGAAAATATTTAAAACAGTATATACCTTGAGTGGAAGTTATAGTGCACTTGAAGGACGTCTACCTAATAGGTAGTACCTATACTCATATTAATCCACTATGTGTATTAATCACATATTAATAACACGTGTGTTTTTAAACTTTTCGTAGCCACAACATTATTCCAATAGTTTGTAACTCATTGTAAAGTTTAGATCTTGTTAAAATATGTGTACACCACTGATATTTTTCCTTTTAAATGGCATAAATTTATAATCAAAAAAGGGAAAGTGAGTGAACTGTTAACTCAGTTTCTGATCGACACAATTTGAAAAACAAAGTTTGTTGTCCAGCAGTTTCAAGGATTAATTTTATTTATTCAAATCATTTGCATCTATAAACAATTGGTTATCGAGTAGGCTTATGCATTGTCATTAAAATTGTTAATTAGTATTCCTGTGTCGCTTTAAAAATGTTTCATGAGTTCTTTTATTTGACAAATAAAAAAGCATATTTTAAACAGGTATTAATTTTATGATTTATTTGAACAACCAGTTTACTTCTATATATTTGGAATGCTTATTTTATTTTATATTATATTTTGTTATTTAACAGGAAATAAAATAAAGTTTTAGAGAGTTATTAAAAAGGTTCGGGCAGTACATTGCATACCAAATTGCAAAAACAAAATTTACTTGGTCATTTTATTACATTTGATTTAAAAAACACACAATTTTCTCAATACAATAGGCACCATATAGGTACATTAGGGAGCTTCAAATTTAATGTTAATCAAACGAATAACTCTAGAAGAAATCAATTTATCGAAAAATAATAAGAAACCTTTTTTGTAGAGCGTTACATTTTATATAAGCAACTGCAATTATCATTGCCATAAGTTACTTTGATACAGAGGTATAAAATTACAAACATAAAATTATTTTTTCCCATGTTAATTAAATGGGAAACTAAAATAAAAACAGCGACCTCTTAGAGTTGAGCTGGAACGCCCATATTTGGTGAGAATTTTAGAAACGTAAAAATGGGATTTCAACGCGACAACATTGCAAGTAGTTGATAGTTGGTTTCCATGGTAACGCTTTTCGTTTTTGACAGTGACAGTGACAGTTCTCTATACAGTGTAATTTAAAATCCTAAAATAAGTTGTAAAAACGAATTATTATGATATATATATGTGAAAAAAATGAAATTTACTACAAAGAAAAATATTAAAAAAGGTATGGGAACCAAAGACCCTAGAACAGAAACACTGCGCTCTCATTGGCGGCCTTAAAAATTAAATAAGCCCTTCAAATATGCGAATTAGAAAAAACGTAAAGGACAACTTGTATTATATTTTAAGTAAAATTAACGATTACCCTTTGCAGCGCTAATTTTGTGATGCTACCAATTTTGGGACATCCTCATTGGCGGCCTTAAAAATTAAATAACTTCTGCAATTTTGCGAATTCCATAAAATGGCAAAGTAAATTTTGTTCTACACTGAAAGAAATATATACTAAAGTTAAATAAAAAAATAATTAGGGCAAATATATTTTATGTTTCATATATAGACTACCACATACATTGCTAAAACAAATATATTCGTTTGGTTAGCAGCCTATTGCTGCCCTAGCAATATAAATGGTGTTTCTAGCAATATTTTTTTGCTGTAATTCACTTATAGTTTACATTTTATAGTAAGGGTAAGTTTATTTTTATTTAGATCTAACATATCTTCTTTACAATAAATGTATTACAAAATTTACCATACATTCATAATAAACAGTAGTATAAATGTGTAAAGCACTAGTATAAAATTTTTAGTATAAATTTGTATTTACTTTTAGCAACAAATTTCTTTCAGTGTAGATTTTCGCAAGGAATCATATTAGGTCCGGTGATGTTGGGACACCCTGTATAAAGGAACTTATTTTTTTTTAAATATTTTAGACAAATTCAAAATTTTCAGTTTTACATTTGTTAAGGTATTTTTTGAGTATATATGTACTTTGATATACGGGGTAGTTGGTTAATCCATTAAGAAAATTTATCCAATATTAAACAAAAAAAATATCAAAAATCTTTTAAAAATTAATAAATAATATATAACAGTTTTCTCGATAATGTGTTCCAGACAGACAGACAGACAGTAATTTCATTTAATTACTTTTTCCTTATGAATATTGCACTGATTGAGTTTGACCCCTTAATTTGTATATTTAACTATTTTTGTCAAAATAAAATATTTTGTATCGGGTTTTTAAACACCTAATACACAGTAAAAAATGTATGGGGTTTTTAAATCTAAAACAATAAAAATCATGTTTTTTTTGGGTAAATTTTCCTTGAATTTTGATAAAAATCACCAGTCTTTAATAGTGATTTTAATTAAAAACAGAAAAAATTAATTTTTCCGCACTCATTGCTGGCAGTAGCGTGCAGAAAAATACAACTTTGCGCGTTCGTTAGGAAATAACTATTATATAGAACTTTTTAACACTAAACCAAAAACTTACCTAATAAACTTTTCACACACTCAACTCCACGCACCTATAAAAAATACAAATAATTTATTTTAAAATTCATACAAAAATATACAGGTATGTATATTAGGTAAAATAAATAGCAATAAACCAACCTAAACTCTAAACTATAGGAATACGTAAAATTCTTCAACAGGTCACGAGATTAATTATTTAGGTAAATAGTGAACTTAGATGTTGCCAACAAACAACAACCTTACGACCGGACCATAGAACGCGAACTAAAAAACGAGTTTATATATTATGCTTATTTATAAAATACACCAGTTGAATGCGGTGTCATTGCTACTCAAGAGTAACTCGTGTTTTAGAAAACACAAAAATAGATGTCCAATGTAATTTTATATTTTTGTCTCAATGAAACTAAAAATCCAGTTATATGGACAGCTGTGCCGAATAACCTAGGATATTCGGGAACTCTTTTAAATAAAAATGTTGATAAACTCGACTCTTTTTTTAAAGAAGTATACAGGGTGTCCCGAAATAAGGTCAATATATATAGCTATAAACAGAGGTCCGAAAATGCCTCTGGAGGGCAAAACTCAATTAAAAATGTCTAGTCACAAATAAAAATATCAAGCGAAGTAGAAAACATTAAATCGTTTGTCTTAACTTAAACAAACTGTAACAGTTGTTGATAGTTGGTTTCTATGGTAACGCTTTTCGTTTTTGAAAATGGCAGTGACAGTTCTATATGCAGACTTATTTAAATATAAAAATAAGTTGTGAAATCGACTTAAGTCCATTACAAACAAAATATCAAAAAAGAGGTGAGGGAATTTGAGTTTTAAAATTTCCGAAAAAAAACGGAAAAATTGGGATATTTTCATAAAAATTGACTTTTGCCCTTTTTTCAATTTATTTGAAGGGTAGGTAATACGAAAAAAAATTTCTAAAAAAATTGTACTGATATAAAGAAAAAAGTGAATTTTCGACTAAATTATAATCATAATCATAATCTACTGGGTCCCATAAAAACAAATTCGGTGCTGTATTAACACAACTATCGCTTAATTTGACACATCAATTTATAAAATTATAATTTAAATTGATAAATCATTCATTATTTTGTAAATGGATATTTTTAATTGACTCCCTTTTGCAAAAATTCAATGTTTTGATTTTTTCTGTTATAAATGTATTATTCTTAAGGATATTTTTTTAAAATTAAAATAATGTTAAGTTGTTGATTGCTTTGTATATTTTCAGAAAAAAAAATCAATTTTTCCAAGGCCTGGGAAAAATACCAAAAAAACATGTATTTCCCCCAATTTTCCGTTTTTTTCGACACTTCAAAATCCTAATGGGAAAAAAATAAAGCAAAAGTAAAATGCAAATAAAGTCTAAAGAGAAAAGCATATAAGGTAAAAGGATTGTCAAAGTATTAAAAAAAATTTAATACAATTGTTTTTTCTTAATAATTTACTTTCAAAACTGTAGTCACCAAATAAATCAAACCAAATATCCCTAGATAATCACGTGTTCTCAATCCAGTGTTGCCGGATCTTCTAGACGAGAATGACAGATTGATAATTTGGGATAATCTAGGTTGTAGTAGAGTTTACTTAAAAGACATTTACAAAGTTTTAGAAAACACAGTTTAGCAATAATATACGATAACATCCCGTGTAGTCTTAGTAACTTTAATAATTTTTACTCGGAAACCAGACGTAAATGTCTTTTAAGTAGACTTTACTATAGTATACTATAGTAGAGTCTATTTAAAAGACATTTACGTCTAGTATATACTAGATTTTTTTCAACATTTTATCATACCGACTAATATTGTGAACCTGAATCTTAATTAACCCCCCGACGTCAATGCTCTGTATTTTTAATAATATAATATAATAATTATTATTATGATTTATGTCAGTGATAAGCAGGTTTTAAGCAATAATATTATGGTGGCAGTATTGTCTCATTCTAATTATTGTAGGCTTTTTAATGAATACAACTGTACATATTAAAATAAAAATAAAAATCACTTACAAATAAAAAATCACAAAACACTCATGTCGATTCAATCACATACATTTAACTAAAATTTAAAGTTTATTTATTTTTTTATGGTTAAACACGAACTTGTCCCGATAAACTTTCAAACGTAACTGAATTTTATCTCTCATTAGCTGATATCAGCCCTCGAACAACATACTGGCAAACATAAATTTAGTTATTTTTAAAACCCGACAATTATTTCAAAACGTTTATATCCCAGATTCCGACTAATCCAAAATGAAGGTCATTAAAATAATTTAATAATATTTATTTATCTATTTCAAGTACTTTAAGGTAAAATCTACGGCTGAGACCCATAAATCAATCAACTAAGGTAGGAAATAGGCATTTTTGTATAAATATAGCTTTGTTAGTAAAATGTTTTTAATTTGAGATTTATGATAATTTCAAAGTATACTGCTCAACACAATAGTTTTAAACAAAATGAAAAAGTAAATAGTTTTTTTTAAATGGCTCATAATAATAACAATTATGATCTTGGAATACACTTCTCCAGATAATTTTAGCTGCTCTTGTTTATAGCAACTTTTTTTTTATTCTTACGTGTAGAATCACCCACCGAAATATATTAACCTTATTTCCAGACACCCTGTATATATGTTAAGGGTTATTGCTTTTTTATGCTATTAATATTATTTATACAGTATCATTATCTAATTATATTGACTTTATAAGTATTTTATTACATAATTAAAATGCTTTTATGGTTAATTAATTCGCTTTAATTGTTATAGTTTTTCCTTAGAATTAAAATGCCATCAGTTTTTTATATATTTACTTTTTTAATTAAGTCTACACAAATTATAGAGTTTTTTACTCATAAATGTATTTTTCGAAATAATTACATGTTTAGTAAATAAAACCCAATTTAGATCATTAATTTCAACCGAGGATACCTCCGATCGGAGACGAAAAAAGTTTTTTTACTTTTGGATTAGAATTTCTTAAATCGTGATGGAACAATTAAGTTCAGATTTGAATTGATCGCATTTAACAACTTACATAAATACAGACATACAATAATAGTATATTATGTATCAAGTTTGATAAACGTCATTTTATACACGAATTTAATTTAGGCTCGAGCGAGCTTCCGAGCGAGTGCTTAAATTAATGAGTGTATAGAAAAGTTTATAAACGAGGTGCATACAATACTTTTTCTACGAAAAATACTTATTATTATCTTAAAATGATTTAAATCAAAAATTTGTATAGAGCGCCATCTATGAAACAATAGGGGAATCTGTGTGTCACCGTCAAGTGTCAAATTTTTGTATTTTATAAACAGATTATAAAGGTTATAAATCGAAATGTTTTTCTTGAAAATTGACAGTTTTTCACAGTGAAAGTAAAGAAAATGTTTTATGACCACTTTACAGTGGAGTCCGTGTCCGAATTTAAGTTATAGTTTACTGCCAGGGAAATTAAAAGGTCAGTACAATGTTCATATAAACTTTTCAAATATTGGTGTTGAGAAACTATTTAATACTTTTGTATTTTTGTATTGAGACAATAAAATAATTTTCACATTTAGTATTATTTTACAAGAAAGGCACTTTATTTTAACGATTGTATGACATTTGACAACTGTCAACTAACTTAAAACTAACTTCAGCCCATGACTAAAAACCTGTTGCTAACTTCAGGCCGTGACTAAAGCGCCATAAAGCTACAAATTGTCAATGTGTATTTAAAAGGTCACTTAGTGTCATGGAAACATGTACGATAAAGGGCGTTTTAAAGGTGGGAGTAGAAAAAGTTCATTAAGTATTAAATGGATACACTGGATACAAATTTAAAAATAATTATTTGTTTTTAATTAATTAATATACAGTGACCGGTAAAAGAATGGAACAAATTCATTAAAAAATCCTTGAACATGTCACATGATATTTTAAAAATTTAATTTTTTTTTATAAAATATCACTTGAAATACTGAAAAATAACTTAAAATTAAATACCTACATTAGTCAGGGCCGTATGCAGGATTTGCATTTGGGGGGTATCAAATTTTATTAAAAAAAATGCATATTTTTATCAAATTTCAAAAAAATATATAATTTAATTTATTTCCCCAGTATCGAAATATCCTAGGGCATTCGCCATATTTGTAAATTCTTTTATTGAACACTTTAATACTTATGTAACAACACTTATTTTCACCAACATTAATTAATTTATTTTGGCATTTGACAAAAACAAGTAAATATTACAAGAAAATATTCCAACAAGAAGGAAATGGGAAGAGGTTATAGGCGAACAAATTCATTAAAAAATGTGCCTTTTCCGAAAATAAATTTAGAATCACTGACGTTATCGGCCATTTTTTTAAATTGTACCCCTCTCTTTTTTTGGAGATTCGAATAGATTATAAAATTGTGATTTTAGCAATATGCACATTTATACCTTTGGGGGCTGATAGTTTCAGAGATTATAATTACTTAAATAGAAAATTTATAGTTTATAATATTTTTGATGTTTTATAGTTTTTATTAAAATACTTTTTAATGGGAATTTAATACAATTAAAAAGTGTTTGTTGAAGAAATGTTAAAAACTTTCTCAAAATATTTAATTTTAAGGTCAAATTTTTCAGTTTATTATTGTTTTTTGTTATTCTACAAATAGCACGTATCGATATATGGAATTTTTTATTTTATATTTATTTGTTAGATAAAAAACTTAGATGTTAGATGAAAAAACTTTTATTTGTTAGATAAAAAACTTAGATGTTAGTTAAGCGTTCAGTAAAGTATCTGTCCCTTAAGCGTTCTCCAAATATTTCGAGGTATTTAAATATGGACCACGGAAGCACATAGTATTGAAGTTTTAATTCTCATAGGATGTGGCAATAAAACTAGAACACAACAAAAAGTTTGCAATTTATTTAATGCAAAGTATCCAGCTCGACCTATTACTCGTGCTACGGTTATTAAAATTGAACGGAAATTCAGAGAGACTGGACATGTCAAAGATATTCCAAACCTGGCCGTCCGAGTATTAGTGAAAACACTAAAATTGACATTTTGTTACGTGTGGAAGATCCTTACAGTGCTTCTAGCCTAGTCGCAGCTGAAAGTCAAGTATTACGTCTTAAGAAGAAAGAAAAGTACCTTTCATACAAAATTAGACTAGTGCAGGAACTTAACGAAAATGATCCGGATCGTGGACTACAATTTTGTAAAACTATGATGAATTTATGTAACAATAGTCCACACTTTCCTCGTAAAATACATTGTTTGGACGAAGCCATCTCCTGTTTGAATGGTAAAGTCATCCTTTAAAATTGTAGGTACTGGAGCAGAGAAAATCCTCATCGGGTAGTAGAGGCAAATTCCCAATACCAGCAAAAGTGAATGTCTGGGCAGGAATGGTTGAAAATCGGATCATAGGTCCTTTCTTTCTTTGACAAACGTATTTGGAATTTTTGCAAAACGTTCTCAGAAAATTTTCCGATAGGCTTGCTTACTGTCAAGAAACCAACGAACATTTAATTGGTTAATGTATTCATTAAAAGCATTTTCAAAATAATGTTCATGCAGATAAAAAATATCTTTTTTGGAAATAAACATTTAATAATACCCAAAACTATCATCCCAATATGTATACATGTGCATATTGCTCAATTCAGAATTTCATAATCTATTCGAATCTGCAAAAAAGAGGGGGTACAATTTAAAAAAACAGCCGATGACAATGAAGTCATAGCTTCTACAAAAATTGCGGCAAATATGAACATTTTACATCAAAATGTGCGGAATTAAAAAGCAAAATCGCTGTGTTCAAGGAATTTTTTTACTTTCGAGATTCAAATCTGGAATCTCAAATTATGTCATTTTCCTACCTTATTATTTTGACATTTCTCGGTGGTGCTCCGTTGTTTCCAATAACATCTTGACGATTTAATTTTTTTATTTAGTAAATATGAGTTTTGATCCTTATAAAAAATGATATCGCAAAACTATCTTTAAAAAAATTGCCAATATTGCCAACAAAATAAAAAAGATGAACATTAAATCTATTAAAAGCGGTGATTTTGTCTGACGATCATTAAAAATGCATCAATCAAAAAATATTCAACGAATGTAGTGGTATTTAATGAAGTGCATTGTGGTAATTTAAGAGTTGGAAACAATACACTTAAAGCCAGTGGCGTATTTAGGGGGGGGTCCGCCGGGTCCGGACCCCCCCCGGGCGCACATATTTTATTATTTTTATTACAAAAAAAAGTTTAAAAAAAATAAAAACCTCAAGACTGTCAACGTACTTTATTATTTATTAATTATATTTAAATATAAAATCATTAAAATCAAAAATCAACTACTTACGTATTAAAGAGAAAGAGGTGGTTTGGCAACCCTTAATTTAATTAAAACAAAAATGTTCCTTTTTTAGAAAGTTCCTTTTAGTTTCTATTTTATCGGATCAGAAGAGTTCCTAATTTGAGATTTTTTAGTTATTAAAGCATAGCATAGTACATATTTAGTTAGTTTTTTTGGACCCCCCCCGGAGCTAAATCCTAAATACGCCACTGCTTAAAGCATACGAACTGCACATGAATAAATAAGTAATTTTTTCACAAAAGAGAGAACGACAGAAGTTTTACTCGACAAATTTTATTCGCAAAGTTTCAATTGCACAGCGCACGTTATTTGTGTTTCGCGTTACAAGTAAAAACTGCAAAACTTTGGTTTAGTACTCGATTTCGATTTATTATTATTCCTTACATTATTGATTCAGCAATTCAACGCTTATAGGGTTTTTAATTGTAAATTTAATTTAAGAACTAAATTGTTGCATTTTCATGTTTTGTTAAAGGATCCAGTTCAGTTCGTATATTTGTTGGTGCATAATTAACTAATGATAACTTGACCAAATATAATTTATATTAAAGTTTGGACATTTTTACAAAATCTAACAAAAAATATTAGTTGTACAAACATAACCTTAAAATCAAACATTTTTAGGTATATTTGAGTCCTCTAAAAAACAATTACATTATAAGTAGTAAACGAAAAAATAAAACAACGAATTCATGGCAACATAATATTATATGTAATACATATTATAATACCCGTGTTTGTTTTTTTACCGTTGAGTGGAGACTTTCTCAATCAACGCTG